CCCCAAAACCCCAAAACCCCAAAACCCCAAAACCCCACGCTTAAAAGAAAGTATTGGGTTCGAACCTGATTTAATAATATTTCATACGATAAAAATGGGAAATAATTTGTTCAAATCTTGCTGAACTGTAGCTCATAACGAGTCTAGAATGCAAGGAGCGACTCTGACGACTATCTCTTCAGAACTTGAACGAACGAAGGGAGGTTTCACTCAAGATTTCTGAGATAGTATGATGACCAAAGGCATTCATCCTAACAAAAAGGATCAAAATAGTATTAACGTGGTATCCACGAGGAAATTGTCAGATGAGTGTGTTCAAAGGTTTAACCTCCCTGACGACAATATCAACCAACATTATGAGATCCTTGATCCAATTGGACAAGGGAAATACGGCAAAGTTTACCTTGGCCAGTCTATTCACGACAAAGATAAGCAAACAGCCATTAAGATAATCAAGATTAGGAAAATAAAATCCAATTTTGAATCTGTAATGAAAGAGATCCAGATGATGAAATCGATCGACCATCCTGATATCGTTAAAATTTTAGAAATTTATCGCGATCCAAAGAAACTTTACCTTGTTATGGAGCTAGTCAAAGGTGAAGAGCTGTTTGATTATATACTCAGGAAAGAAAGGCTTCAAGAGGAAGAGACACGGAAAATTATACGTCAGCTGGTAAAAATTGTGAAGTACCTTAATTCAGTCAATATTGCTCACAGAGACTTGAAACCTGAGAACATTATGATTAACCCCAAAACTCTCAAAATCAAACTCTTAGATTTTGGACTCTCATCTTATTTTGAGGAATCAAAGAACCTAGTGAGTCCTGTTGGCACTCCTTACTATGTTGCTCCAGAAGTCCTCAGAGGAAGTTACGGCAAGGAATGTGACATGTGGAGTATTGGTATCATTACATACATATGTCTCATTGGAGCCCCACCATTCCAAGGAACTAGCGTCGTCGATATCTATCAAGATATTTTAAACTGAAATCTAGTATTTAATGAAGATGATTGGAACCAGGTATCCGAATTCGCCATGGACTTTGTTAAAAAGCTTCTTGAGCTAAATAGAATCAGAAGATTATCTCCAAGGAGAGCCCTTCGTCACCAATGGTTTACTGAGGAGGAGTCTACTTTAACTGAATCTCGTAAATCTCGGAACCCTGGCTCAACATCAATGATAGACTACGATCAGTATAAGCTAATGACATTCGAGATTCTCAAAAAGTTGGTCAACAGAGGTGTCCTCAAAGAGTGACTCAAATGAAGAATAATCTTTGAGGATATTGCTAACATGGAACTTCTCCAATCCTCTAAGGGGCTCACATCCAAAGACTGCAAGTGCTGCTGACTTCTCAAAAAGATAAGTCCGTTACTTGAGTTGTTTTCAGATGCTCAAATTCAGTTCAACGAATTTCTGAATAAAGTTTTGAAAAACACTGAAGATATCCAGCCTGAACTTGTCTCAATACTTTTAACAGAAATGGAAGAAGATAAAGATAAAGAGAACAACCAGTTGTCTGCCAACATGAGCTCATCTCCTTCAAGAGGCCAGGTCTCCTTTGAGATGAAAAGTGTTGAAGACTATGAGGAAGAAAATCGTCCAATGATGATTACGAATAATACTATGATGAATGAGAACAGCTATAGGAACAAATCCGTCCTTACTTCGGGTAGTTCAAAAGGATCGTTTAAGAGAAGGAAGCCCCTGGGTTGTGTCCCTCTCTCAGACTCCAAATGTAAGGAACTAAAAAGTTTAGCCAAGCAGGCAACTTTGAGCTATATTAATCTAGATAACCAAGTAACCCATAACGAAGGCAAGCTGCCCTTCATTAATTCTTTTTAATATTAGCCACTCATATCCAAGTTTTTAAAGTTTTGACTTCTATCCAAATTTTCTAAGGTGGAGGTTTCTTGCTTACCAGAGCCATAAATTAGCTGATATTTATCCTAAACTGACTTCTCTATTCTAATTGGTTAGAAAATCTTTTTAGTGGTATACTAAAATTTATACTATCTTGAAATAGGAAACGAATAATTCTGAATAATATTTTCAACTTATAATTTAACAAGAGGGGTTTTGGGGTTTTGGGGTTTTGGGGTTTTGGGG